TTGACATTACTTCATAGTGCCTTTTCTTTTTTGTTAGTACTCAAAAGTAAAAATAGCCCTATGAGAAAATTCCTACTGCCTACATGTGGTATGTGGTTTTGAGAACTGTCCTTATAGTGAACTTTCCTGGTGGTTACAAATTCAGTGCTGTTGCTGTAATTGAGCTAATTATAAAAACCTCTTTGAGAAATAATTTTAAATTGCCTTTTCCTGTAATACTGATGATGATGTTTTCTCATGCATTTTCTTCTGAATTGGACCATTGCTGCTGTGTCTGTGACATCTGGTGCTGCTCATCCCCATCCTCAAACTGGAAAATGATTTCTTATGTAATCATGCGTCCAACTGGGCTGTGCTATTTTTTAAATGGTTTGTATTTGAACATGGTGATTCCTCCCTCAATTCACCTTAATGGAATTTATTTGAATTTTATTTATAAAATTTGTGTCCTGTCTAAATTATTCAATTTTTTTAAAAATAATTTTTCATGTATTTTATTATGTATTTTATTTTTTCCCTTTCTTGCACTCTGGGTCATGGGTACCAATGCAATGGCTTCCCCTTTTTTCATGGAATACCAACTGCAATATGGTCCTCAATGCTGTTCTGGCTATTTCAATGATTAATGCCAAACACTTGTATGGTTAATTTTTTACATGTTAAAAATACTTAATGCTGGATATATGGTGATTTGGGTGTACCCCATTTGGTTTCTGGTGGGGGGGTGGTCTTTTGAAAACTGGGTTTTATATATTCTGCTGTTTTTAACGTGTGGTTTTTTCCGATATCTGGGTTCTAAAAGAAATCTTTGGAATTAAGAGAAAAACAAGCTGAAAAGGAAGAAAAGCAGAAAACAAAGAAAATAGAAACAAGTGCAGAAAAGTTGCGTAAGCTCTTAAAAGAGGAGAAAAGGTAAACTATAATATTCAGTATTTTTTAACTTAAAGCAACTACTGAGTTGAACCAAAGTGCCATATGGAGGTTAAAGTAAGTAAAAAAAACAAAACAAAACAAAACTATTGAATCATAATCACTGATAGTTTGTAAGTATGTGTACCACACATTTTTCTGTAAAAGAAATTAAGTGGATTCTAAGGTTGAGTTCTGCAAAAAAAAAAAAAAAGAAAAATCTTAAAATATATAATAGTTTTAATTATCTGTATTTTAGGGAAAATGTTTTAGAACTAGAGCAGTGGTTCTCACCTGGGGGTGGCTTTGTCCCCCCAGGGACATTTCTGGTTGTCATAACTGGTGGAGTGGTACTAACATGTAGTGGGTGGAGGTCAGGGATGCTGCTAAACATCCTACAGTGATACCCCCACCCCCATCATCACCCTTCCTAACCAACAAAGAATTATTCAGGTGAGAATGTCAATAGTGCTGAGGTAGAGAAACTATATATTAGAGGTAACCAGATACACAACTTCATTTCTCTCCTTTATGTATTCAGATAGACTTAAATTTTTTAGACAGTGTTGGAAATGTGACTGTGTCTTCAGAAATAATGGATTTGCTTTCAATGACAATTGTCTACACAGTATTTTTTCCCCAAAAGTCATGCCTGGTAGTAAAATTGGATATTGTAGTAACTGATGTTATTATAGTAATTGCTTATCTAAAGCCACAGCTTTTATGAAACCTTTAAAGAGAACAAAGTAGGACTAGAATCTTTATGGATAATCAAGAAACATTTTTGTACTTAACATATTTGATGGGTTAACGATATTTTTTAGGCTAAAGAAGAAAAGAAGAAAATCAACTTCTTCCTCTTCAAGTGTTTCTTCTGCTGATGAATCTGATTCTTCATCATCATCCTCTTCCTCTTCCAGTCACAAAAGGCATAAGAAACATAAGAGGAACCGTTCAGAGTCTTCTCGAAGTTCCAAAAAGCATTTAGCTAAGGCCTCCTCAAGTCAGATAGATCAGAATAGGAAAGATGAGTGCTTCCCAGTTCCAACCAATACTTTAGCATCTTTTCTTAACCAGAAACAAGAAGTGGAAAAACTACTGGAAAAGCAGGACAGGTTACCATATCAAAAGAAACAGGTAAAAGAGAAAGATAGATGCCCTCTCTCTTCATCTTCAGTTGAAATTCCGGATGATTTTGGAGGTAGGTCTGAAGATCCAAGAGATTTTTATACTCAGGCAAGTAGTAGTAAAACAGAAAAACCATATAAATCAGAAAAACATTTTTCCAGTAGAAGAGATTCCTCAGATTCCTTTTATAGGAATTCAGAGGACAAAGTGAAAACTTACAGTTACAGAAGATTTGAAAAAGATACAGAGGGAAGAAAAGAGCACTACAGAAGGTGGGAGCCAGGTTCCGTGAGGCATTCCACTTCACCAGCAAGCTCAGACTACTCATGTAAGTCAGTTGAAAAATATAAAAAATACACTTACTCAGGATCACGTGATTTTAGTAGACATGAGCAAAGATATCCGTTAAATAAAAATCAAGGAGAATATGAAATAGAGGATAATTATGAAGAGGATATTAAAACAGAGGTTCCAGAAGCAGATGGCCTGAATAGCAAAGGGCAGTCAGAAAGTGGAGTTAAAAAAAATTTACCTCAGAATTTACTCAATATATTTAATCAGATAGCTGCATTTGAGAAAGAAAAAGGAAATAAGCCAAAAAAATAATATGCCAGGGGATTCAGTGCCATTACACAAAAGGCTTACATGAAAGTTTTGGGTCTTCTAGTCCAGAAGAATCTCTACTCCTAAAGCTATTTTATTTGTAGAGATTGCAGAAAGCAGATGCTTTTTAGCTATTCTCAAAGTATATTTGTTTCAGTTGTGGTTCTCCTCACAGCTTGATTTTTTAGGCTTTTCATGTGTATGTTTCTGTATGGTATTTCTTACTGTGATGATTTAAACTTCACCTAAAGATAATTCTCAAAAGTATTGCTTCCTCATGGTATTATAGTGTATGAGAATTCCTTGGGTCCACCTTATCCTGCTGCTTGAGAGAAAATTAAATTTGTTCATTGAACACTTGGATTGTTTTCTTCAAAAATTATTTCATTGTCTTTTCTGTTAAATTCTGTCTTTTCCTTCAGCTTTTGAAAGAGATACATAGTATTTGTTCCTTAAGTACCGTTTTATATTGATCATTTATTTAAATATCACATTTTTTGTATAACTTCTAAGATTATATACAGATGATCTGTCTTGCCTAATTGACCTCTAAAGTTTGATTTAATTAAAAATGGTTTGTGTGCCAGCTTAACAAGTACCTTAGGAATAAAGCCATGAAAGTTGAAAATAGGGGCCCATTTTGCTTATTTTTTTTTTCCTTAAACCTATTGTTAGCAGTATAGCCCTAAGAAATTTCTTAACCTTAAATATTGGCAAGACCCTTAGAGACTATATACCAGGCAAGAATAGATCAGAATAAAAGAATCCTTTTAGCAAAAACAGCCTGGGGAAGAGAAACACACACTCTAAATCTGGTTTTCCCCTAAGGGAAAGAAAATTGGGAAACTGTCCTAGTATTGCGTATGTCCAGTTGGGAAGGCACTGGGCATGTTTTAATTCGCCTAGAGCTGGCCTGCATTTCCTCTTGATACCTCTCTCCTGGCACTTCCCTTGATACCTCCCTTTCTTAGGGTCTGAATAAATGACAAGGCCACCAAAGCCTGGTTTTACTCAATAAATTCCAGCAACTAGAGCTGAAGAAGTGACTTAGATCATAAAAATCCTTCCAAATTTGAAAACAGAGATTTGAAGATAGAGATGGTAGTCATGGTTGTTGATTTAGAATGGTCTTTAGAATCTTTCCAATTTCAGGTTCTAGACACTGTGACAACAGGCCTTTAATGCTACGTCTGTCTAAATCATTCTAATTGGGTATGTCCTGTTTGTGGCCTTCAGACTTTAGCATTGGGAGCCTAGGGAAAAAGCTAAAGTTTGTTTTACAGTGGAACAGAGAAACTGGTCAAAAACCATGCGTAATAGCAGTAGAAAGGTCACTCAGGTCATTTATCTTTGTACCAAGAAACTCTTAAGAGTCCCTGGTGTGTATTAATAGCTCCTGTATCATCCCTACATAGTGGTTTTTGTAAAAAGTGAAAAGTATCTCGACATAGTCTTTGATCTCTAGTACATCTTCAGTATTTTACGTACACCATTTTATTTACTTAAAAAATCTCTGAGCATCACTATCAACCAGCACTATAATTTTCCAAGGTGTCTTTGTGGCTTGATGTTACATTCAGGTACAAGAAAATTAGGATAGTACCTTATATAGGCTTGCCTGAATTTATGAATTCCATCTTCCCCGGTTTCTTTCCTGGGACATACTAAATTTAAGCAGAGTCTACAAGCCAGTTTCTAAGGATGTGTTCAGGAAACCCGTCACAGCAAAAGAATATTGGGGACTGGCTTACCAAGAATTGTTAGTAATTAGCAGTTTTTTTCCTTATCATTATGTCTATACTTTGTACACACCCAGACTGTGTCTTGACTTCCATAAATAACTTTCTAACACAATAGGTGGATGTTTAAGATAACTCTCCACATTTGGAGATAATGGGTTTGTGATCCCTGTGTCACCATATAGCATTATTATACACATAGGGTTGGAACTGTTTATTTAATAGAGTTAAATACAGACTTGTATACTGGCCTAGAACCTAACCATTCCACAAATATTGTGCTAGCCTTTGGGTGGTGACTCAGTAATAGGTAGAAGTTATTGTGCAGTTCCTAAGTCAGGGCCTTTCGTATATTTGATTATTTCAGTAAACTTGTGTAAGTAACTCTTACTGTTACAAATAAGGAAAAAAGCATAAAGAAGCAACTTTCCTAAGGTCATAGAGCCAGTAAGACAATCCCTGCCTCCGTAGAACAATGTTTAATACTGAATTGCAAGTTCCAAGTAATTTACAAAGTAATGCACACAAATGCACTTTGCGGTGAACACACAGAGCATAAAATTAATCAGTTTTTAGATCTAAATCTCATGCATTTAGAACCTTGTTTTACAAAAAAATTATTCATTGGACTTGGCTATACCATTTGCTGGCTATTTCTAAAAACAAAATAATCAGGAAAAACAGGTTTACTGCCACTACTACCTTTCAGAAGGAACTGTAAATGACACTACTAAACAATGACAACAGTTGTGACAAATTCAAGGTTTGAAGGAGAAATATTCAGTTAAGTATATAGTTTCTAAGTATATATAGCTAAGTATTTAAAAGCCAGTTTTATAACATAATCATACTCCACACTCTATTCCAAGAGTTGAAAATATTGGGTTCATGTTCTACAATAAGGTATTAAATGGAATAACATTCTAAATCAGGTGGTCCATTTCTACCGTGAATTTATGGGATTCCTATTGGAAATCAAATCATACCTAGCTTTTTGTCTACTACATCAAGAAGGTCTTGGGGGGGGAGAAAAGTCTTGAAAGTACATTGTTATTCTTGAAAACAAAATGTTTAATGTGTTCGACTTCTTTCAAGATCAGAGTTGAGTAATTCTTAGAAATTTCAGCTGCATTTTTATTGATATGCAGTGCTCTTTCCTATTGTTTTTTTGGGGGGAGGGAATAAATGCTATTTTTTGGTTAAAAATAGAAGTTTCTTCTTCAAAAGAAACTAAGAGACTTCTCCCCCAGAAGTCCAAGAAACATGTTTCTTTAACTAAAACCTAATTTTAGGATTTTCTAGGGTAAATGAGAATTTTAGTATTATATTCAAAGGACAGTGAATCTTCAGAAATTTCCTGAAAGATCGTGTTAAATTAGAATTGAAGTAGTTTCATGGCTAGCGTGAAATACTGAAGCAAACCATTTTCTAATTTAACAAACATCAAAATAACTGAAAAACATCATTTTCTCTATGCTTATAAAACATGTAGCCTTGTTAAAGAATCTGCTATTACTGCTTTCCTTCTCTGTGAAGAAAACAGTATGGCAAAAGCTAAGAAAATTAAGCATTTCTTTGGCTTATCTGAACCTAAATTGCTTGACTTTTTAACTCAGTTTTCACATTTTCCACAGGGTAAACTTTCGTCTAGTTATTGCATATTTCTAACACGATTTCAGTGGGCCTCTCTCATATAACTACACAGCACCCAAAAGCATAGGGTGGAATTCACTATCTTAAAAGTAAGATTTTTGTTTTTGTGTTTACAACTTATACAAAAGAGATTAAAATGTTTATTTGTAGCCCTTTTTGTTTTTACCATTACTGGAGCTACTGGTCGCACTTGGTGGCCTAGAAATATTGCCAGGCCCTGAAGAGGAGGCTGGGAAGTTCAGCTCTAATACTTTAATTGAAGTCTGAGAGGCAGTACTTGTGGAACTTCTGGATGACCTACAGGAAAAGAAAACCAGCACTATTTTAAATTGAATTCAAAATCTTTATTAGTAAAGAACCCCTCGCTAATGGCAAAAGATACCATAATCCCACAAGGAATTAAATCAAAAAAGTATATACTAGTAAAAGCATAACCATTCATGTCAAAAAATGCGTTAAAAAAAAAAGGTAATGAACATAGAGTTTCAAACTAGTTCAAGTATGTTTCTATATGAGAAAAATATTTTCAACTATAATCAATTTAGAAGTGGAATCATTAAACATTAAAAAGGTTTTGTGAAAATCATTAAGCATAAAGTGCCATGGTAATTTGGGTGCTGGCCAGAGTGACTACAGTAATAGTTATGTAATCTAAGCTAAAGAGAAGAAAATGAGGGTGCCTGGGTGGCTCAGTTGTTTAAGTGGCTGCCTTCGGCTCAGGTCATGATCCTGGAGTCCCGGGATCGAGTCCCACATCGGGCTCCCTGCTCAGTGGGGAGTCTGCTTCTCCCTCTGACCCTCCCCCCTGTCATGCTCTCTATCTCATTCTCTCTCTCAAATAAATAAATAAAAAAAAAGAAAATGAGGCCTAATGACAGGATAAAGTGGGGTCATTTGAAAAGCATAACTAGCTATACAATTCAAATGCTAAGACTTAAAAATATCGAAATACAGTGATGTTCAGGTGACTCCTTACCATGTTTATGTAGAAACAGATTTGTTCTACTTAAACACTATCTTTTAGGATGTCCCTTTTATTTTCTGAAAGCTATCTGTGGACAAGTGAAAAATAAATGGCTATTGAACATAGGAGATTGGGAATTTTAAAATTAAGATCATTAATAATTTTTATTTTGTCAACAAAGCACAGAGTGTTGATTAAACATCAATCTACCTGATAGAATTCCAGATAAAACTGAAGTGCAGAAGAATAATTTCCTTTTTAGCAAAATAAAGCAGCAAAAATGAAATAAAATTCTACTTAAAACTTCATAATGTGGTTTTAATCATAAAAATCATATGTCTGTGTATCTAAGTTGCCTTTTTATGGTTTAAAAAATTCTCCCCAGAGGCGCCTGGGTGTCTCAGTCAGTTACGCAGCTGCCGTCCGCTCAGGTCATGATCCTGGAGTCCCAGGATTGAGCTCCGCATCGGGCTCCCTGCTCAGCAGGGAGTCTGCTTGTCCTTCTCCCTCTGCTCCTCACCCTGCTCATACTCCCCTCCGCCAAATAAATAAAATCCTTAAAAAAAAAAACTCCCCATACTCAGTGTTAACCATGCAAGACGTAACCTCCAAAATTTCACCCTGCTTTATCCTACTGAAAGCTGGAAGTCACAAAACACTCCAGTCCTCATAGAAACTGACATCAGACAAATCAGAGGGAAAGAGTCTTGCTCTGCTGGCTGTTACCTGCATACATAACACTAACATAGAAAGGTGGGTAAGCAGGATAAGGAGAGCACTGGCAGATCCAGTGGCTGTAGCGGTATTTGCCTACGACAGAGAGTTAATGAGATGATTTTTAACCTTCCACTTACCTTGTTGATAACAGTGAAGTCTGTGAAGCAGATCTAGAACTCTGGCGACTGCCTTTTGTACCAGCTGTAGGTAGTTCTAAACCATTCTGGAAGAATATTGAATAGCGATCATTAGTACCACTGCATTTTAGAATATTTTGAATTAGACTTTATGATAAATGCCATAAATTAAGTGTTTAAAAAATATTTTAGCTAGAAGGTACTGTTATTACCTGTTGAAAGTATGTTTGAAGGATAATACGGATCTCAGCGTTTTCTTCTGTGACATCAACTAGCATTTCATCAATGATCTTGTGGAAATGTTTCACTTCACGAAGTTTGATATCTTGTTCTTCTAGTGTTTCATCTTTTGTGTCTTTCAAAAGTCGGATTTCCTTGGTGAGTTTTGCACACTGTTGTTGGTCAAGAGTAGTCAGTTATTATTTAAAACTATTTCCCAGAACTTAGTATTATGGATGAAGGATTTGGAGTTACCATTTGGAACTCCAAAATACATAAATATGACAGGTCAGTTTTTAAAAAGACAGCAGTACCTGTTTAATTGCTCTCTCTAATTTTGGCTTCTGCTCCTCAGTTTCTCTATTTAGTTGAGATGAATAAGCCTGCTTCTCTGATAATTTTTCTTTGACATTATTTGTTAAATGTTCTATAACTTCTAAAGTATTTTCCATGCTCTGCAGAAAATAAAGCATTAACGTACTTACTGGTTAGAATCAAGAACCTACAACTTGCCATTTTTTCAAGTATTTAATTCATTTATTTTTGTATATAACATACATTATATTGGTAGATAAGTATAACGGTTCCTGGATTAAGTTTTGTATATAATTCCACTGGAAAGTATTTTTATGGTACTTGGGGGAAAAACAAGTCAAACAGTGGCTATTAAAAGCATGCAATTTTCAAAAATTCATACCATTGGTTCCTTCAAACATTAGCAAAAAAAAAAAAAAATTTTATACAGAGCTTGCTTACCAAGCACATTGTTTTCTCTTTCAGTGATGTGGTTTAGTAACTACTTTCTACTAGATTATTTTTATCTTTCAAATTTTAAGGAGCAATCTTTAAGGTGATCTTTAAAGAATTAAATGAAATAAAAGTTCATTAAATAAAAGTGGATAGATGTAATTAGCTGGCTATGATTCATCACCTAATTAACAAGTCATTATCAGTCCATCCTGTGTTTAGTACTATGATTTTAACTAATTTATTTAATACTTTGGTCACTTGTTTTTTTTTCTCATTTTAATTAAATGAGACTTTTACTATCTACTTTAAAAAATTATCTTCTCGGGGCGCCTGGTGGCTCAGTTGGTTAAGCGGCTGCCTTCGGCTCAGGTCATGATCCCAGGGTCCTGGGATCGAGCCCCGCATCGGGCTCCCTGCTCAGCGGGGAGCCTGCTTCTCCCACTCCCTCTGCCTGCCTCTCTGCCTACCTGTGCGCTCTCTCTGTCAAATAAATAAATAAAATCTTTAAAAAAAAATAAAAAAATAAAAAATTATCTTCTTTCTACAAGATAACAAGACAGTAAACATAATAATAATGATAGTTAACTTTTACTAAGGGCTTATTATTAAAGCCTGTATAATTTACCTGGATATCTTCCTGTAGTTCCCTGATTTGTCTTTGTTTGTATCTGTATTTTTCATCAATAGCTCTTTTTTGTTCTTCTAGTTGGATTTTTTGTTCATACTCATCACCTAAAATTAGAGAATTATTAGTTTAAATTTTTAACATGTTATGTAGAAAGCAAGCTTCAAGTCTTACATATATTAAACTTCTAACATTTTTTGTTACAGAAGGTTAAATTCCTTGTATCTGCTTGTTGAAAAACAGTATAAGCATGTAATGTGGTAGCCATTCTTGTTTTGTCAACATAGAGCAACCAGTGTGCTGCTATTTTCTTCACATTTGAAATTAATTCCCAGGGAAGTGATATGCAATACTGCTAGAACTAATAATGGAAATAACAACTTAGTCCTTATTTTAAAGGGGGTGGGGAGATGATTTTCTGACTCAAACATGGTACATTTTTGTTTTCCTTGTCTCACAATGTTTCGCTTTAAAAATAAGTAACTACAGCTTTAATTGCATATATTCATAAAAAAATTTTAATAACTCCTACATACTGGATGGAGTCACTTTTTTAAAAGATTGTTTATAATTGTTGTTGCAACTTCTCAGCACTTGCAAGGTGTTTTCTAGAGCATAGATTTCTTTTTCAGCTTTGTTGATCTTAGCATCCAAACTGTCACCTTCCCTTTGAAGTTCTTCTTTTTCTTGAGCAGCCTATGAAATACAGAATAGAAGTGACTGCACATATGGTGAGCGCTGTGAATTATGTAAGACTGATGAATCACAGACCTGTACCTCTGAAACAAATAATACATTATATGTAAAAAAAAAAAAAAAAAAAAGGAAAGGAAAAATGAAGGGGGGGAATCAGAGGGGGAGATGAACCATGAGAGACTATGGACTCCGAGAAACAAACTGAGGGTTCTAGAGGGGAGGGGGGGTGGGGGGATGGGTTAGCCTGGTGATGGGTATTAAAGAGGGCACATATTGAATGGAGCACTGGGTATTATACGCAAACAATGAATCATGGAACACTACATCAAAAACTAATGATGCAATGTTATTTTATCATAACATGATAAAAAAATTTAAAAAAAAATTTAACTTCTTTAAAAAAAAAAAAAAGTACACAAAAGTATCAGGAGAAAATTTCTGTTTCCAGGGCAGGAAATAGTATACTCACAACAATACCAATTTACCTTGGGGCCTACATGCAGCATTAAGCATTTATTTCTTGCACTTGATTTAGAAAAGAAGACTAAAGCCCCAAGACCTTCAAAATATAGTACATAGGATACAAACTGATGTAAGTGTAGTAATTAACCAAAGTTTACATTAAAACTTTCCAATAAAAATTACCAGAAAGCTAAGCAGGTCTACACTTTACTGGAAAGAGAGAGGGTTAACTAGAAGGTGGCTTCAAACTAGATCTATCCCATAAGAAGAATACATGTTTCTGGCCTGAAAGAGGCTTAGGAACACTTTCTCATTTTAAGTCTTAAGAATAAAGGAGGTAAGCAAACCTAGGAAAGTAAATGCATATTATTTCCAACCCAGTTATATTGCTATTAGAACTAGGATTTCAACGTTTTTGAACAGTTAAGTAATACTAAAATTAGAATACTCACTTCGGTAGCACATACTAAAATCAGAACAAATAGAAAAAATTAGTTTGGTGCCTGCACAAGAATAACATGCAAATTTGTGAAGCACTCTGTATTTTTAAAAGGAGAAACACTTCATGATTCCACTTATATGAGATGCCTATAATAGTCAAATTCACAGACGGAAGATAGCACGGTGGTTGCCCGGGGCTGAGGAGAGGGAAAAATGGGGACTCAGTGTTTAACGGGTAGACAGTTTCAGTTTTGGAAGATGAAAAAGTTCTGGAGATGGATGTTGGTGTTGGTTGCACAACAGTGGGGATGTACTTAACACCACAGAACTGCACACTTAAAAACTGTTAAAATGGCCAATTTTATGTGTATTTTGCCATGTTTAAAAAAATTTTTTAGGGGCGCCTGAGTGGCTCAGTCGGTTAAGCGGCTGCCTTCGGCTCAGGTCATGATCCCAGGGTCCTGGGATCGAGCCCCATGTCGGGCTCCCTGCTCGGTGGGAAGCCTGCTTCTCCCTCTCCCACTCCCCCTGCTTGTGTTCCCTCTCTCGCTGTCTCTGTCAAATAAATAAAATCTTTAAAAAAAAAAAATTTTTTTTTTAATTAGAGAAAGATAATTGATAAATGTGGCTGGAAAAAAATGCAGTCTATAAATTGCTGAAAACCAAAAAGTCTCAGTAGTAGGCATACTTAGTGACTTTTTCCAGCTTAACTCTGTCACTGGGATAGGCTCTCTACAGTTGTATCCAAAAAGTTCCAAAGAACTTCTCCAATTAAATGTAGACAGGGATAATATGAATACATATTTAAAAGTGCCAAAACCCATTTTTAATCAAAATTAAATAATTTATTTTGTTAATTTATTCAATCCCTAGGTGTGGCATGTATTTAAACCAGAATGTGGCCATTTGAAGTTTTATTGGTAATTCTTTATCTCTTAACATTTTCACTGGTATTTATTATGCTTCAAAATATGTTAACACATATTTTTATAGTAAATGGTACATAATAAAAGAATACAGTTAGCAAAAAAAAAATTTCTTAAATTATAATCTAATTCCAGTTGAGTCTAGAATTGGCAACCTTTTCATTCAAAAAATACTATAGTGGAAGAGACCTAGAATGAATCAAAACAGCTAGATTTTAATTGTGGATTTCCTATGAATGAGGTAACATTAAATAATTCATTTTCCTTCTCTGAGTTCAGTTTATTTGTCAAACAAAGGGGCTGACTTTGTACATTTATATATATTTCTTGATCTAATTCCATATGTACCTTAAACTAAAAACTTTTATGACCCTATCTGGTTCTAAATCAGACATTATAGAATGTATACCTTTTATCCTAGATTAGAAAGCTTATATTAGAAACAAATTCTTATTTATACCTTTCTGTCAACATTTTAAAGCATTTTCTAGTAATTTCATTTTCTAACAGTTTCACTAAATTGTGGTCAGAACTGGACTGTAACCTTATAAAGACCACATAAGACACATTGAATCTAGCTACAAATAAAAAGTTTCATTTTTACACATCTGGCACATGTGAAGTGTTAAGAGTAAAACATTTAAATATGCTGCATAATGAAAAATGGAATAATGTGGCAAGCTGCGGACCCTAGAAAGGATGGAAAGTGAAGAGTGGCATTAGGAAATTGGGAAGGTAACTGATCGCCTTGATTCATCTTACATATCCCTTATGCTGACATTTATCCAGCAACTTCACCGTGAACAGAACACACACTCTTTTCCGCATAAAATTTGCCTGTTTTCCTGAGAAGTGGATACATCATCATCATCGTCATCATCATCATCACAGCAATAACAATAATGACAGCAATTTACTGAGAGCCCATTTTATACATTTACTGAGGGCTCATTTTGTTCCAGACACTTAAGGGTTTTACATATATTTCTTTTTGGGGGGGGCTTTTTTGTTTTATTTGGGAAAAGTGCTTCTTACAAAAGGGCAGCTGCAAAATACAGAGACCTCTGCAACAATTATTTGTTTTTTCTTAGAGTGAAAGAATGGGTGGGATCCAAGGAATGAATCAAAGCAGTAGATGGACAAATGAGGAGCATCTCCAAGTTATTTTAGGAACTAGAGCGAAAAAACTCAAAGCTAAAGTTTCCAATCTTCTTCTAACAACTTAACTTTAGCTCGTCTCGTGGATTACCACCCCCGCCCCCCCCTTTAGTGGAAAAGCATGACTTACTCCTGCCAACCAATGACCCCACTGTAAGAAACACCTTGAACTAAGTTCTGAATCAAATCTGTCTACCTGCAAAGCTCAGGGATGGAATGAGGCAAATACCCACAAAAACAAACAAAAATCTGACAACAAAACCTCAAACGAGGACAAACATTTGTCCAAAAGTGCCTGGGCTGGAGAGGCTGGGAGACCCTAAAACATTAAGTACAGCTGTGTATCTGAGCCCTGGTTTGTGTTAATGAATGGGACCAGCAGACAGGTGACCCCTCTGTGGCTAAGCCCATTTCTCTATACGGACAGAGCTAGCACCGCTCTACCGACAGCTACCAATATCCTGCTTTGTCCTTTACAGTCTATGTGCCATACGAGGCTGAAACCACTAAACCAAAGTTTTTCCACTAAGGCTAAGAACACAGCATCTATGCAGGGACAAGCAGCTTTTCTCACACACTCATACACACCAAGTCCATCAGCCCTCGGGAGTCCGCTTCCAGCTCGGCCGTTCACTTAGGCCACTACATCTGTTGTACGTGTTCCTACTCAACTTTCCTATCGTGCTAAACACAGTAAAAATCTCAATACGTTTGCACCTGGTTCTGGTTACCCAGTAGTATGACTTGTGCGCAATTCAACAAGAGACCAAAACCACAGAACAGGTGCACAGTGGGGGTTAGGGGGTAGGAAACAGATTTAAAAACACAGATGTGCAGATTTCACCAGAAACCTCGGGTATCCACCTCGTAAGTCTGTGGCAGGCTACATGCCACAGTGCAGATCCGTCACCCATCACCTCTATTCTTATACCCCAAAGCAGGGCCAATGCTGTTCTCAAACCTGGGGTCCTCCAAGTAAGTGTGGAGAGTCCATCAACGCTACCCTAGAATGGTGTCAATCTGGTGGAAACCAGATGACGCAACAGACCTACGCTGACAGTTAAATTCATGTTACAAAAAAACTAGCTTTAAGATTTATTTTTGTAACTTTTTTTTTAAACAGAAAAAAACACACTCCTTGGGGAAAGGTGAGGGATTGAGACAGGCCCTGGGTAAGAAGGATCACAACAGCACCTGGAGTTGATAGGCCTGCCTAGGAAAGAAACTCGGGCACTGCCACACCACCACAGGGCGACAGCTACTGTCTGGGGCTCAGCAGACCAGTTCACCCACCACGTCAAGCTGCTATAGATCCAAGTCATAAAAATCTGCCAGCTCATCATGAAACAAGTCCCACTCATCTTCAGAGTCTGTCAGGTCGTCGTCCCCACCTGCAGCCAAAAGCATAAGCAACATGTCGCCCAGCTCAAAGGTGACAACCTCCTCGTCTTGTTGTCAAAGGGGTTGCTGTTCTCTCTTTCCTCAATGAGCTCCCAGAAGTGGTTCCTTCGTTGCTCCCGGTATCTGCTTGATGTTCCCACTTTCTGTCTCTGTGGCTCCTCTCCATGGCCATCAGGGTATGCATGCTTGTAAAAACAGTTCCCTCCAAATGGGCAGCTCCCACGTCCTTCATCAAAATACCTGCATGCCTGGTTGCTCATTGCTTCCTTGTATTTCTGAATGAGTTTCTGCTTCTCTTCTTTCTCCTCCACCCAGTACTCACTTGGAATTACAAAGTTAGATGTGATCCGGCATTCTGGGCAGAACTTTATGATCTTGCTCTCAAATTGCTTAGCCCTCCTCCACTTGCGAATACACTTGAGACAGTAAGTGTGGTTGCAGTTGGAGAGAATCCCAAAGTGGCGCTCACTGGGGTTGGCTTTTTCATAGACCACCTCCCTGCAAATGCCACACACCATGTCCTTACTGCGCTGGACAGCAAATGAGAACTCCACGTCCTTCTCATGGGCCTCAATGCAAGATTTTATATGTTGCGATCTCTGGGCCGCATCCGTCGGATGGAGGACCTGCAGCCCACACATGTCGCAGGAGTCTCCGCGGAGATACACAAAGTTCTCCCTGTACCGGCACTCTCTGACCGTAGCATAGGGGCAAAGCTGCTGCTTGGTTTCTGCTGCCGTTTGCTCTTTCTCCAATTCTTCCTTGGTCACTGAGCCCTGCGGGGATGCTTCAGTGCAGGAAGGGGCAGTACGGCCACAGTAGGGCTGCCCAGGAACAAACTCAATGGCATTCACCCGTCTTCTGAACCTGCTCCTACAGTTGCAAAGTTTGAATTTCTTGACTCAGCTTTGCCTGTATTCATTTCAACAACTGGTCCAATGCCTGATGAGAGACTTGAGGAAGCAGCAAGGGATGATTTTGTAGTTAGATCTGCAGCAGTCACTTCGTCCTGTTTCAAAGGCTTACTATGTTCATATCTGCAGCAGTCTCCGTAAATACAGTATCCTCGCTGAAAATACTTGCACACTACACCATAAGGACTGTCAGAGAGGTCATGCGAGTAGTGACAGTTATCTCCTTCCTTATAAACACTGTGCATGAAATACCTCCAAGGTTTCCCTCCTGCTTTTGATGTTGTTTGTCGTGGTGGGGTTCAGAGCCGATGGCCAAGAAAATTCTTGAGATGTGTTCGGTGCCAAAAAAGGTGGTCTTATCAAAGCACCAGAACAAGGAAGGACTCGCGGGCAGAAAAGGTTGCCGCCACATATACTTCTTCATTTACTTCTCACAACAAAAGTAATAATATTCTCATTTTGCAAGTGAGGAAACTAAGCCCCCAAAATGATTAAATAACTTATTCAAGGTCACCTGCTTGGTCAGTGATAGAACCAAGATATGGACAAAGGAACTCTAACATCAGAGCTTTTAGGTAACATCACATACCTTGTTGGAAGAAAAACTTAACTGGAATTGTAACATCTACCTTCTTCCAACACTGACCAGCCTAGAGCCTACCCTTCACCCCTCAGGAACCTTTAAAACCTGAGAGGAGGAAAGTCTTGTTAGTATCAGGTCAAAGCCTGAGGTACCACAGACTGATGAGTTACAAGAACAGTTTGAGAGCTGGGATTCATTTCTCATGTAGGTTAGGTGGAATTTCCTGAGGCAAAGTGGCAGGCATATCACACTCAGTGTATGTGTTAGGGGCACACTCAAAGAAGGGCTACAGAAGGAAACTTGCAAGATTAAGTATAAGTCAAAGGAAAGGGAACATCTGTCCACAGGGTCATCCTCTAAAGGTGTGAATCAGATCTTCCCATTTCCTTCAGTGTATGATACAGGAAAAATGAGTTAAAGTTGAAATTTCCACTCCTTTGTAGTGTCTTGAGTAAGTTCCCAGACCTCTGTGTAAAGGAAATCACACCTGTTCAGTTTCTACATGGCAAAAATGAGTATGGCAATACTCAGGAAGGGAAATGCATCTAGTTCCTGATCACTTCTCCATTTCCCCTTATGGGTTACTCGGTAAAGATAACCATGAAATGGCAGACAAATCTCAAACATTAGAACAAGCAGATTCACCTGATCTGTCTCTCTCCCATCTAATATGAAGGTAAAGGAACAGGCCTCTTCCTCTGGATAGCCACCATACCAGAGATGCACTGGTAAATTAGAGAATTAAGATTTCGGGGTGGTGTAGCTCCAGGTGATGATCTAGGCTGTAGCCACATGAGTGGATGGCTATAGTGAAGTAAGGCCTTGAGCCTGAGGTGTTGAACAGGTTATCACATGAATACTAAAGACATGCAAAGTGACAGCAAGTCTTAGGGTAAAACAGATTATGAATCTTGAATAAATGAGGGAAAATGACATGACACAAATGATAGCAAAAAAAAAAAAGTATCAAAGAACAGTCCAGACCTCTCTTTGACCTCATGGACTTGAGGTGTATAGCTTCAGGGGGCGCCTGGGTGGTTCAGTCAGTTAAGCCTCTGACTCTTGGTTTCAGCTCCCGTCATGACCTCAGGCTGATCAAGCCCAGTGTCAGCTCTGCACTCAGTACAGTCTGCCTGAGGTTCTCTCCCTCTCCCTCTGCCCCTTCCCCCACTTGGGCAGTGTTGCGCATGCCCGCACTCTCTCAAATAAATAAATCTTTAAAAAATAATAATAGCTTCAGTACCTCCACCTAACAACTAGTGTTTTATGGCCCTGATCAAGTGCAGTAGCTACAAGAGCACTATGAAATTTAAAGTTGCATGGCAAAAAAAAAAAGCCATTTGGTTGTTAACAAAGAGCAAAGATACTTCACTTTATCACAACTATGAATCAATTAAGATTACCTTTATCACATAATAGGCCTGGGTTTTCTCCTCTTCTCCTTCAGGAGGCAGCATTACAACAGTAAGAATTTCATATCTATTCTTCAGCTTATCAATTTTACTTAGCCTCTCATGAAACTCAGCACTAATATGGAAAGAAAAAGAAAAACACTAAAACACAAATGACATACATTTTTAAAGGACTATAGTGTTCTTATATGACATTTTTATTAATACTAAATTCAAACAGGTTAAATATATTCTCACTTTTCAATTTTCTAATTAGTGGGAAGCATCTCGGGTTTCACCCTATTAGAAAGCTAAGAAGTTAGGCTGCCATAGTTTCATGGAAGTTGGCAGAAGACACAAGATTCCTAGGTCAGAGAAAAAGGACTTTGTCATTCATGGTACACCAAGTAGCATGAGCCTCCTGCTTGCAGAGCTCTCAAAGTCCCATGCAAGTGAGGAGGAGCTCAAGTGGATATTACATACACGGTAGGTTTACATCACAGCTAAGGAAACTCAAGCTTAGGTAATCCAAATATCTTATAATGGGAACTAAGCAAATACATCCAATCTTTACTCCAGCAAGAGGATACCACCTCTAGCTTCCAAGGCTATTCACTATCATTTAAAAGATAGTTTAATGCAAGGTACCTCGTTAGTGCAGTAGGTAGCGTGTCAGTCTCATAAAAGATAATTTAATGCAAATTAAAACCACAATACCATATTACATCACAGCCTTAGGGTAGCTACTAAAAAAAAAAAGAAAGAAAGGAAAAAAAAAGAAAATATTGGCAGGGTGCCTGGGTGGCTTAGTTGGTTAAGCTGCTGGTTCTTGATTTCAGCTCAGATCATGATCTCAGGGTCCTGGGGGCTCTCAGAGGGGAGTCTGCCTGAGATTCTCTACCTCTTCCTCTGCCGCTCCCCACACTAGTGCACTCTCTTGAACTCTCTCTAAAATAAAAAAATAAATAAATCTTTAAAAAAAAAAGTACTGGCAGGGGCGCCTGGGTGGCTCAGTCAGTTAAGCACCTGCCTTCGGCTCGGGTGTTGATCTCAGGGTCCTGGGATCGAGCCCCGCATCGGGCTGCCTGCTCAGTGGGGAGTCGGCCTCTCCCTCTCACTCTGCTCCCCCCTGCTTGTGCTCACTCTGTATCAAATAAATAAAATCTTTTTTAAAAAAAAAGTACTGGCCCTCTCTCACTGTATCTATCGAATGAGTAAATAAAATCTTTTAAAAAAAAAAGTACTGGCAATAATATGGAGAAATTGGAACCCTTGTGCATTATTGGTGGAACTGTAAAATGATGCAACCGCTATGGAAAACAGTATGGCAGTTCCTCAAAAAATGACAAATAGAACTACCATATGATACAGCAATCCCACTTCCAGTTAGATAGCCAAAAAAATCAAAAGCAGGTACTTGAAGAACTCTCAGCACCCCAATGTTAATAGCAGCATTTTATTCATAATAGCCAAGAGGTAAAGCAACCCAAACATCCATGGACAGATGAATGGATACACTAAATGTGGTATATACATGTAATGGAATATTATTCAGCCTTAAAAGGAAATTGCATCACATGCTACATAGATGAACCTGAGGACATTATGCTAAGTGGAATAAGCCAGTCACAAAAGACAAATACTGCATGATTCCACTTACATGAAGTATCTAAAGCAGTCAAATTCATACAGACAGAAAGAATGGTAGTTACCAAGGGCTGGGAGAAGGAGGAAATGGAAGGTTATAAAGACTGAAAAGGGAGACACAACACTGTTATTTGCAATTGATGTAAATGAAATACCTAGAAATTAGAATCTACAGATCAACTGTCAGAATTAATAAGAGTTTAAGCAAAGTTAATAGATTCTTAATATATAGAAATCAACTGTATTTCTATAATGTTAGTAACAAACCAAAAATGAAATGATTTAAAAGGAAACAACATTGACAGAAACATTTTAAAAAGTAGCAGGTAGGGGCACCTATGTGGCTCAGTCCGTTGAGCATCTGACTCTTGATTTTGGCTCAGGTCATGATCTCAGGGTCCTGGGATCGAGCTCCACATCAGGCTCCCTGCTCAGTGGGAAGCCTGCTTCTCCCTCTCCCACTCCCTGTTTGTGTTCCCTCTCTCGCTGTCTCTCTCTCTCTGTCAAATAAATAAATAAAATCTTTTAATAAATAAATAAATAAATAAATGCAGCCATGGCGAAACATGTTACTGAACTCTCCCCACAAAACATACTCGAGGGCGCCTGGGTGGCTCAGTCGTTAAGCGTCTGCCTTTGGCTCAGGTCATGGTCCCAGGGTCCTGGGATCGAGTCCCACATCAGGCTCCCTGTTCAGCGGGAAGCCAGCTTCTCCCTCTCCCACTCCCCCTGCTTGTGTTCCCTCTCTCACTGTGTCTCTGTCAAATAAATAAATAAAATCTTTAAAAAAAATACTCGAAAATCAGTTCCAAGGGAATTAGTGATCTCATTGCAAAAGGGATAATCTAAAGAATTAGGAGTTAGCCAAAGGAAAGGAGGAGGAAAAACCATAGGTTTATGACTAAGATGTGTCCAATATATTAAAAGCCTTTTCAAATAAGTAAGAAAAAGATGATCATCCAGTCAGTTCTTCTGACATCACGCTTACATTTTCAAAAAATTTTAGCAGTATTTTAAAACTTGAATTATTACCTTATGTTCTGCCGTTCTTGCTCAACATATCTTATTTGTGATGCAAGCATTGTTTTGTGAACTTTAATTTCTTCGATTCGTTCTTCCATAGCTGTGTGTAATTGCTGTTTTCTTTTTTCCAGAGAAAGTACTTCTTCTGCCTTACTGTGAAGCATTTCTCTAGTACGTTTAACTTCAAGTTTTAAAAGATTGTCTTCTATCATCAAATCCTGTCAACATAACAAAATTGTCAGATACTGAAATAATTACTATTATACCAAATCCATAATATTTTCTTTTATTGCCACAGACGTCAAACTTGAAAATATTAACTTTTTCTAATTTGACCACTGACCAAGATAACTAGGATTAAATTTAGATTGCTCTGAGTGATGACTCTTGGTTTTTCTTCACTTTTTAAGAAAAGGATTTATTTCAAGTCTTATTATAATTCAATTTGAAATTTAAGTTTTACTAATAAAAAAAAAAAAAGGAAGAAGTTATTCCCAAAATTGAAACTTACAATCCAGGAAATACATATAGTCCTGTGGATGAAAATTTTTATATTCTAAACTAAATCTCACAAAACAACATAAATTTTTTTTAAACAATTAAAATAAATAAATTTTTATTTTAAACAATTCAGTCATGGATAGAGTACTGACACAAGAGTACACAAATAGATCAATTTTCAGAATAGAAAGCCCAGAAACAAACACTCCAGAACACAAGACTTTATTATTTCAAAACATAGCTTTTCAGGTGGAGAAAAGATTAGATCCCTACATCTCAAATGTACCAAAAAAAAATTCCAGATTAATGAAAATTTTAATGTAAGAGAGAAAACCAATGCAGTTACTGAAATAGTAAACATTTGTTTGATTTTTAGTATGACAAAGAAGTTTCTAAGTATAAAAATTATGAAGGGAAAAACAAATATTTGATGTTAAAAAAAAGTTTTTAATGTCAAAAAACTGAATAAAAATTTAAAGATAAATGGAAAAAATATTGACAATATTTATGACAGAGTTAATATTTTTACATATGAAGGTCTTTTGCAAAGCAATTCAAAAATATTAACCTCCTAACGGAAATATGAGCTAAGATAAAAATCTAGAAATCCAAAAAAGAAAGATTATGGAATATAACATACTAGAAAAAAATGTTTTAAACATTTTTTTGAGAGGGAGAGAGCATGCACAAGTGGCGGGGGGAGGGGACCACAGAGGGAGAGGGAGAGAAACCCAAGCAGGCTCCACGCACAGTGCAGAGCCCATGCAGGGCTCAATCCCACAACCCTGAGATCATGACCTGCGCAGAAAGCAAAAGCCGGACACTTAACCCACTGAGCCACCCAGGCACCCTTAAACATTTTTATTTAAACATAAATATTTTAAATTTTATATTGAAACATGAAATTTTTTTCACGTGTCACCAACTTAAAAAATACAGACTAAAACAATGAAATACGTTTGCCCAACAAGTTGACAACAATTTTATAAATTATAATATCCAGCCTTACTGGTGGTGAGTAAAATAGAATGCTTACACACTGCTGGTGGGAGTATTAAGTGAACCCTCTAGAAGAAGACAATTTGGCTTGAAAATAGTTTGGGGGCACCTGAGTGGCTCAGTCAGTTGAGCGCCCGACTCTTGGTTTCAGCTCAGGTCATGATTTCAGGGTCATGAGAGCAAGTCCTTTGTGGAGCTCCCCGCTCAGCATGGAGTCTGCTTCAGAGTCTCCCTCTCTCCCTCTGCCACTCCCCCTGTTTGCGCATGCTCTCTCTCTCTCAAATAAAATAAAGTATTTCAAAAAAAAGAAAACAGTTTCAAGATACTGAAAATATTCATTCTTTTTGGACCATAATTATACAATTATAAATTTTTCCTAACTCATTAAATAACTATACAGTGATATATATGCATGGTATATGGTAGTACTATTTTTTTTTAAGTGGGCTCCACACCCAATGTGGGGCTCAAACTCATGACCTTGAGAACAAGAGTCGCATGCTCCACTGACTGAGCCAGCCAGACGCCCCTGATAGTAGTATTTAGAATAACCAAACATTGGAAACAAACACAAAAGAAACACGAAAAACAGGAGATGGTTAAATAAATTATGGTAACTTGCATGCAATAAACTGTAGAAAGCCTTTAAAAATAATTTTTAAAGAATATTTAATATTTAATGCTTGCAAACATACATGGAAATAGAGAATATATTTAAAATTTTTTAAAAATAACATATATAAAGCCAATTTTCTTCAAAAGACTACAAGGAAATAATATAACGTTAACACCTTATCTTATATACGGTGATTTATTTTCATCTTTATAAATTGGTATATTTTTAAAATTTTCCATAGTTAGCATTAAAATGTGGTTTTTAATATTTCATACACATATGATTTTACTGCACCTGTTTCAAAGCTTTGGTTTTATTAAGTTCTTTCTCTGATCTGTCATTGAAAAGATTTAGTTCATTTATTTTGGTCATGAGGAGCTGTTTTTCATCACAATTTTTACTGTTTGACTTCTTGATAAAATAAAGATCATTCTATAAAAAGGGAAAAGAGGTGAAATACATATTTTAAAATAATATTAAATACATAGTATTAAACATCTTACATTAAATTATATGCTCCATTGAATATTTATAATAATTCAATTTTTAAAGCTCATTCTTCATGCTTTAATGTTTCTAATATAATACATGTGGATATTCACACAGAAACATTTTCATTTTTATCACTTACTGATTTTTTGGATTTGGTTTGGGTTCAATAGTTCTGGTAAATATTATGTACAGTTCGACCTGAATTATTGGGTGACTGCCATTTATGGGGAGAAATAGGAGGAAGCCAAGCATCGGTTCAGTACACAGCTCACCTTTTAAGTTTATTATTTGATTCAACCCAAGTCACAGAAGGCAAAAACCTTCACGGTCTAAAAAAGCATAGGGTTTTGGTTCATGGTACAAGCTCTAGAATCAGATGGCCATAATTACACATTAGTCATCTGACCCTGGTGGGCAACCTATTCTTCTTTAGTTTCCTCATTTCTAAAATGGAGATGACAGTACCTACCTCCCTGAGCTGCTATGAGGATTAAAGATGTTACTGTCAAAGAGATGTACAAGTGTTTGACACATAGAAGGGTCATGAATTCTTACTATTATTTAATTACATGTATAATCACATATTGCTAGAGAGAAAAATGCTAGAAAAGATCTAAGTCCATCAGATGCATAAATGTGTCACACATACCCAGATATCAGTTTCCTAGCTTTATAACAATCTACATCTCTCCACTCACCCAGACCTCGGAACAAGGTTTGTGCTCGTAGTCCCCTCTGGGTACCTAAAGCAAAAACTTTATAGTTCGAAGACCTAGTTCTGTTCCTCTCTCCCTCTGTCTTTTACTCTCTCTCTCTCTGCCTCCGTCCTATGCCTCTCTCATTGCCTGTATTTTTCTTAGGTATCAAGACCTAAGATTGCAGCAAGACAGTAAGAAGAGGAATTTTTTTTTTTTGTATAAAGATGTGATTTCATAAAATTAACTTTTAGAATGAAAAAAATTTAACTTAAGGTGATTTTCAACCAGAAGGAATTAGTTTCTATTATGCAAAATAAGAAATGGAATGGCATGGGAGAGGTAATGCAGAATGACTTGACAATCTCATGGTACTATTGAGAAGAGCAGACCTTCATTAGAAGGTTAACTGGCTTCAATATCTTTAAAACTTCACTTGCATTTCTTTTAATTTATTTATCTCTCTGTTAAAACCAGAGTTGGGATAGGCAAAAGTACTAGTCAACTGTATAATGGACAGAGCCCCAGAGTAGTTAAAAGGCGGAACACTAGAATCATTTCCACACAGCAAAACAGACACAATTCACACCAGGGTCAAGAAACATGCTTGCATACAAATGTCACCCTCCTATCATTATGTAGCATTAATATTCTCCTCATATTCTATGTAATTAAAACAAAACCATTTATTGAATACCTACTAAAAGCACTGTGTTAGGATACACATTGCTTCTAATTCTCCCAAATGCCCCAAAATAAAATCAAATTTTTTCTTTCATTTAATAGATTAGTTAACTAAGGCTCAGTTAACTAGGGCTCAGAAAATTTAAAGTAGCAATACTGAGAGGGAGGAGCAAGATGGCAGAGGAGTACCCAGGAATTCAGCTAGATAGGTATCAAACCACTCTGAACACCTACAAACTCAAAAGGAGATCTAAGAAAAGAATAGCAGCAATTCTATGAACAGAAAAGCGACCACTTTCTGGAAGGTAGGACATGCGGAGAAGTGAATCCGAGGCGATATTTGGGAAGATAGACCACGCAGGGAGGGAGTCTCCGTCAGCCACTACCGGCAAGGGATAGAGCAGAGCACAAAATCGGAACTTTTACAAGTCGGCTCCACTGAGGAATATCGCTCCAGTGGCTAAGCAGGGGGTGGAACCCTTGCTGGGACAGTGTGGTCTCAGGACCCTCGGGGTCACAGAAAGACTGGGGGTGCCTGAATGTGGCAGAGCTCCCAGGTATCGGAGTGGGGAAGCCGGCTGCAGAGACGGAGCCGAGGAGTGGGCTCTCAGCTCTCATGCCATAAACCGTGATCTGCAGCACAGTGGGGCCACTGCTCTTCCAGCAGGGACCCAACAAGTGGCAGATCCAGGAGACTCCCCTTCCTCCCCCAGAAGGAGTGGCGCGGAGGGCACGGCAGGGATCTGCTGGGTTTGGAGTCTCCAATGGGGTCGTGCATCAGAGATAGAAACGCTCGGTCACAGGCCAGGTGAGCCTTCTCTTCTGATTTGCTTAGGTGAGCACGGAGTGAGGCCGGAGAACGGAGAGACGGGAGTGATTGACTGCTTTTCTCTGGGGGCGCACTGAGGAGTGGGGCCCCAGTTCTCCACAACTCCGGGACCAGAGACAGGGAGGCCGCCATTTTCATTCTCATCCTCCAAAGCTGTACGGAAAGCTTGCAGGGAACAAAAGCTCCTGAGAGCAAACCCGAGAAGATTACTTAGCCCGGCCTCTGACAAGGGCGGGGCAATTCCACCTTGGGCAAAGCCATTTGAGAACCATGGCAACAGGCCCCTCCCCCAGAAGATCAGCAAGAACATCCAGCCAAGACCAAGTTTACCAATCAATGAGAACGGCAGAACTCCATTGCTAGAGGAATACTGCACATAGAATTCATGGCTTTTTTTCCCATGATTCTTTAGTCTTTCAAAGTTAATTTTTTAATTTTCTTTATTTTTTCTTTTTCTATTTTTTTTTAATTTTTCTTCTTTCCTTTTTCAACCAACATATTTTATCAATTGCTTTTTTAAAATCTTTTTTAATTTTCACTTTACAAATTCTATCCCTTCATTGTATTTAACCTTATTTTTTGTATATATATGTTTTTCTTTCTTTAAAATTTTGAGATACAGTTTCTTCTAACAGACCAAAATATACCCTAAATCTAGTATATGGCTTTGTTCTAGTCTCCCG